CCTTTCTACCTTGTTACTTCATAGCTCTGTAACTGATAAAGGAAGGCCAGTTTGGCATGATTAAAACTACACTGGCTTGAAGGTAATTTTATCCCAGTACCTGGGCCAGAACACCAGACATTCCAAACATTTTAACAAAACATACCTGGTATCCACCTACCAGTGTTTTTAATGGTTGTAATTAGGTAGGTGGGCAATCATGTTGAAATTGAGACACCTGACCTAAGAACCATGTTAGTGTAGATTTTCCTACCAATAAATCCTTCTCGTAATTAAAGATGGAATATGACAAGACAGCACTAAACCTCAAAATTCACAAGAGCTTCTCTGATTCTCTTATAGTATCTGTATGCCAGATGTTCTAAAAACTTAAATATTACTACTTTCCAAAAACTTTACAGAAGAGAATCTGATTCCCCTACTACATCAAGTTTCGAGGCTATTTACAATTTTTTAATGGTAGAAGAGGTACCCTGTTATAGAAGAGAGGCTTTGCTTGGAAAGGGATAACGATAACAGTTTTAAAATAAGTATCAAAGCTCTTGGTGGGCCTAGGTTGAAAATATGAACCTAAAAGGTGCAAACAACTTATTTTGAGGTCTCTGTTGTTTGGCAATATTGTGCTCTCAAGTCTGTGCAGTGTACATTGCAGATGCAGCTTTGTGGGCAGATCTCAGCTGTTTATTTTTACACACTGCTAAACAAGAACATTCACACATTAATTTATCTACTTGCCAATGCGTTTCGGAAACATTTGTAATTTTTTTTCCCCGTATCTCCACGTACAAAGAATTTCTAGGCACAAATGCCTGCCAGTGAAAAACAACTGTGATTGTAAGGGTTTGAAACTAGAAAGAGCTTAAATAATTCACATTTATTAGACAGTGTGCCAACAAACAAACTGCACCTTTTTATGGCATCAGAAGCAAATACATTTTATTTCATGTAGAGTTACTAGTTTACCAGAAATTGTCTGCACACCTCAGTAACCGTCTTGGCATTTGATACAGGCTTTACTTCAGACTAGGAGAAAGAACTGAATAACACCGCCTCAAGAATCAATTTACATCTCAGTCTTCTGGTGACTTCACTGACAGCATCATGTACAGAACAATACTGGAGCAGATACAGATACTCATTCTCCATTTATGAGTAACCAGAATGAAGTTTCATTCATTTTGGACCTAAGCCGGTAGAAAATAGCCTCTACAGTTGTTCATCCACGGAATCCTCAGAGGCCTTCTGGCTTGCAGGGCAACGGTACTAGGCCAAATTGTATGGTTCCAACTTCCCTGATTACCCTAAATGGTAGTTGATGAGAACGACGACGATTTTCAGGACAGATAGAAGGGGATAGCTCAGGGACTGCAAGCAAGCCTATTCGCTAATGTCTTAGAGAAGCTGCAGATCCTTCCCTGAAAGACTGAATGATCAGCTGAGATCAACTGAGGTATGAGAAAAGAAGTCCAAGCCACAGAAGTTCATCCTTCTCCCTAAAAAGCAGCAGTTTAAGTAAGAAGTCCCACTTTCATCATAGGAGCTCAGTCCCAGCACCCAGGCAGTTAAGACAGAAAAGCTGTACAACATCCTATATAACAAACACTGTTGCTGCAGGTTGAGCTCAGTCAGCCACAGCGTATGTTTCACCATGGTGAGAATAAAAGGCCTGCCCAACTTTACCTGTCCCATTAAAGTCAGTACCAATAAGCAGTCAGTACCAAGCAGCAGTTGTGAAAACCAGTGACTGCCTGCATGGATTCTGGCCAGCCATTTGTATAATTGCCTGCTGAGCAGATTAAATAATTTTGCTTGGCTTCTGTGAGTCATGAAGCAAATCCCTAATGTCTTCTGGAACTCCCTTTGCTAGATCATTATGTCCTGATCCTATAATCAAACCTATGAAGGAAAAAAAGGGGCATGTTCTTGAGACCAAGGAAGATCAAGGCTGTAATATAAGGGTGGGGCAAACCTGAGACTGCTTACTATAGGAAAAACTGATGCCTAGTATTAAGGTCATCTTATGCTTTCTGAGACATCCCTAACATGTAGATGGCAGCTTACGTCACATTTTTCTTACTCTCCACTGAACTTGGGCTAAATGCTAAGAGACGCAGGGCACCTGCCAACAGCTGGCTTGCTCCTAAACACTTATAGCCTCTCTTAAACAGAGGTCTGTGCAAATAACAGAGAAATACAGTCTTCAGAAATGGGGTGTAGAAAAACAAGGTTTTTAACAAAGAGTTTAAAACAACATAATACTATTGCTTGTGAACTAACAACCTAATCTTCCCAATTTGTATTTTTTGTGGTAATGAAGTAAATTTATATTAGCATGCTCCTTTTGAACCAGTTGTAGGGTCAAAAACTGCTTTTCTCTCAGGACTACATGACACACTACATCCACTTAAAGCAGGACACGGTTATCAAGAAAAATAATACTCTAAGCATTAATAGGACCCTTATTGCAACCATAACCTGCAAAATAACGCCTACCTGGCTAAAGCCCCCTGTACAGCTGGACTCTAGTCTGAAGAGCCAAACCTGCACTGGCAGGCTCAGCACCCCCCACCCCTGGGAGCAAGCCCTGCTTTCCTGGAGAAAAACCCACTTTGCTCTGCAGCGCTCTAAAAGCCCGCAGGATCACCATAGGCCAAACGTTCACTGTGAAAGCCATTAGACAGTCACCGCCAGCAACAGTAAAAGGCATTTTTGAGTTGGTTGGCAGGAAACGTTTTGCTGAGGCAACTGCTTTAGCAAAGCCCAGTCCTGGAGCGTAACACAGCCTCCACCGAAGCCAAGCAGGGTTTTGCTTAGATACAAAACAACAGCTGCACTTGCTGCGCCCTGTACGCCCTATTGCCCTCAGCGCCTGGCCGCTCCGGCGCAAAAAAGCCTGAAAAACGGTCACTCAGCTTGCACGCGGTGCTCCTTCCCGGACAGAGCCCAGTTTCCACCCTGAAAAACACTCTTT